TTGCTATTAAAGCCGTATGTATATATTTACTTTATGGCACATTTTTTATTAGTACATATTTGTCATACATATCGACCACATTCATCATAGGGAGTTTATACCTCTACATAATATATCTTTTTTTTTTTTTGGTACCGGAGATGGAACTCAGGACCTTGTGCTTGCAAGGCAGGTGTGGCACCACTGCACAGAATATATCTGAATTCTTTTTTTCCCATTCCTCCTCTCCCCTCCCTTCAACCCGTCTTTCCCTCCTCATTTACATATACATATATCTATACATATATATGTATAGATATATATATTTTTAAATTAGTGCACGCTAGTAACACATAATGGTGAGGTTTGTTTTGGGAAATTGGTAATGCATTTAATATGTCTTGATCATTTTCAATCTCATCAACCTCCTCTCCCTTTCCTCTCCCCTTCTGCTGATCCCATTCCCCATCTCCAAAAGTAAAGACAGTATTTTTTTTTGGTACCAGGGATCGAACTCGGGTCCTTGTGCTTACGCAGCAGGCAGAGAAACCACTGAGCTAAATCCCCGGCCCCAAGACAGTACTTTTTTTTTTTGAGACAGGGTCTTAATGTATAGTTCGAAACAAGGTTGCTTCGGCCACAAAGCAGAGTATGAACCACTCTATGATCATGGCGAGCCACCGGGGCACCACTCAGTATGCAGTCCAGGCTGGCCTTGAACTCACTAAGTAGGCCAGATTGGCCTCAAATTCTTAGTGATCCTTCTGCCTCAGCCTCCTGAGTGCTGGGATTACAGGTGTGTACCACCTGGCTGGCTAAGACAGTATTTTGACCAGCATCTGATGTTTCTGCTCTGTTTCTTGATGTCTCTAGAGTTTGGAATGGGAGGAGAGATGCTGAGTAACACTGAGTAACACTTATTTGTGTTTACATACATCTGCAAGGTTTTCATTTTGTATGTCAGCATTATCACAAAAACTGGGGTTCAGATTGTAAAAGAATGCAATGGGTTCACCTTTTTGTGAGTGAAAAGCCAGTAAGCACAACTGGGAGATAAAGAGTGAAGAGGTGTGTTACTGGTCACTTTTGTGTCACTGGGACAAAATACCCAACACCCACAAGTTAAAGGAGGAGAGATTTACTGTGGCTCACAGTTTCGGTTGGTTTAGTCCATGGTTGGCTGGCTCCAAGGCAGAAGCAACATGATGGAGAGAAGCTGTTCACTCCATGATGGTCAGCAAACAGAAGGAGAGGGAGGAGATGCATGGCAAAGGCTTAGCACACACTATTTCATTGAATCTTGGCCACAACTGGCCCTGACGATGATAGCTGGGGCTAGAATAGGTGATATTATTTCATTTTACCCCGCTCAGAGAGGCAAAATACCATTTTTGGTCATACCACCAAAAGCAGCTAGTGAATGGTTTAAATTTCCATCGGCTCATCCATGCAATCATTTCTCAGGTACTCACTGAGCACTGTATCTTCAGTGTTCTTAGAGGCAAGCTAAAGAAACCAAGTGGTTGATTTTAGCAGAAGAGGAATACATTACAGGAATTGTGCGTTGCTCGTAGAAATGCCTGGAGAACTACCCGTGGGAACTTGCAAAGGGGCCCTGGACAGGACGGGGCACCTTCACCGCCACAGCTCACCCTGGGCCGTGGACACTCTGGCTTGCAATGCTGTGCTGCAGTCCACACCTCCTCCTCCATCTTCCTTCGTCCACCACTGCCCCCAGACACCCCATGGTCTCTGCCTCAGATGAACGGAGCATGGGGGACAGGCTCCCCAGGTCTGTCTTCTCTCCTGGGAGGCTGTTGCTGCTCCCCGGACTCATACAGTGGGGGAAGCCCCCATTGTGGGAAATGCTCAGATGCAGGGAACAATAAATGGTCGCATGTGCGTCTGCTCCATGTGTGACACTGTTACATATGGTGGGGATACAACGAGCTTGGGTTTCAGGGACCGCCTGGGCTCCCCTTCCAGCTGTGCACTGGTTGGCACCATAGTCTGTAAATCCATCCACTCTGACTTTTCAGTGGGTAGCCCAGCAGCCATGTAGAATAGGCAGAACTGATTTTTTCATTTTGTTTTTGTGGTGCTGGAGAGTGAACCCAGGGCCTTGTGCATGATAAGCATGTCTTCTACTGCTGAGCCACAGTCCCAGCTGTTCCTATTTTATATTGGAGGAGGCCAGGAAGGCGAGGAGCCTGAGGTCCCCCCTCCCCGAAAGAGCAGAGGTGGGATTTGAATTTGTCTTCCAAATCCAGGCCTAGTGCTGAGCTAATCAGAGATAGGAGTTGTGCAAGGGTTCTGCATTCCCTACACTGTACCACTCCTGAAGTCAGGATGCTTCTTGTAATCAGTGGGACATCATAGTTTAACAGCGTTTTTATTCCAAGAGGTATAAAATAATGGAGAATCTTCAACTGATGAAATCTTGGATTCACTGGAATACAGGCTCTAGGATAGGGGTTAGAGTGCTTCTGAGCATTCATAAGACCCTGGGTTCGACACACACACACACACCGTCCACCCATCCATGAGCAGGGTGGATGGCAGCTGCTAGTCCTGGGCCCGGTGACGGCCCATGGGGCGGGAGGCATGAGGCTGTGGCCTGGCCAGGGCTCTGCAGGGCTGGGGTGGGGGAGTGGGTGGGGAGATGGATAACTGACCACCATCTCAGGATGGCTCTTTCTGGCCGCTGATATCTTCACCATCGCCAGCATCGCCAGCCCGGACTGGATCAACATGGGGAGGCCAAGGGAGCACTCACTGTGGGCCCAGTGTGACAATGTCAAGCAATCCATGGATGAGACTGGACATGCATCCCTCCCCGGCTTCCCCCCGAGGGGCTCACCACACTGTTTTTTATCATCATGGGAATCATTTCATTGACTGTCACATGTGGTTTGCTGGTGGCTTTCCACTGGGAAAGAGAAGCTACAAAATATGCTCGCTGGATAACATTCACTGGAATGATCCTCCTCTGTATGGCTGCCCTAATATTTCCAATAGGATTTTACATCGATAAAGTCAGAGGTCAACTTTATAAATTACCCAACAACACAGTAGTTGGGTCATCACACGTGCTTTTTGTCTTATCAATTTTCTTTCTTTTTTTTTTTTGGTACTGGGGATTGAACTTGGGACCTTGTGCTTTTGAGGCAGGTGGCAGAACCACTGAGCTAAATCCCTGGTCCTCTTATCAATTTTCTTTACAATAGTAGCACTTCTATTTGCTGACAAAGTTTGTTTACTGGGCTGATGAATGTCTAAACTGCTTGACTTTTTTTTTTAAGAGGGTGGGAGGATGAAGACAAGACACCTGAGCAATCCTCTCATAGGAAGATGCTCAGATGAAACTGATGTCAAAAAGAAAAATTCTTTGGGCTGGGGATTTAGCTCAGTGGTTTCACCGCCTGCTGCGCAAGAGCAAAGACCCGAGTTTGATCCCCAGAACCACCCCCCCCCCAAAAAAGAAAAATTCTTTGATTTGTTCTCACTGTGCACTTTGGATTAAAAAAAAAAATGAGGAGAGCCTTTTCCATAACCAAATGCAGACAATATTGAGTAAATCTCCTGAGCACATCAGGCAGTCAGTCTGCATTGCGATAGCAACCTACTGAAGGAGATGCTTTATACTGAAGAGCATGTGGCCCCTTGAGAATCTGTTGTTCCTTTTTTTGGTACCGGGAATTGCAGGTGGCGGAACCACTGAGATAAAACCCCGGCCCAGCATCAAGAGAATCTTTTTTTGTTTTTGGTTCTGGGGATCAAACTCAGGTCCTTGTGCTTGTGCAGCAGGCGGCGAAACCACTGAGCTAAATCCCCAGCCTGTTGTTCCATTTTTAATGTCTAAAAATTCATTTGAGGAATAAAAAAAAAAAACAGTAAGTATTTATGAATCATGGTGGACCAGAGGGGATGTAAGAGAAGTTTATGTGGGGCTTCCTCACCTCCTAAGAAATTAGTATTCACAACTTCCTTGTAATGGTTTAAGCTTTTTGGCACCAGAATGAATTGCTGTACCAAGAAACCAATAGATCAAAACTTGTTTGATAAATACATGTAAAGATTCTGAAATTCCCCAATTTCTGTGTAAAAACAAGGAAAAAGAAATGAAACACCAAAGACATGTTGTTTGGGGTAGGTGGGGGAAATCTTCCTTATATTTACATAAATATATGTAATATAAAAAAAGGAGAAATGAGACATGAAGGAAGATTTTTGTGGAGGAATTGTACAGGTCCACAGTTCCTTTCCTGGGATTTCAAACTCCGAAAGTCTCTGAAGACAAAGTTTTTTTTACCTTTTTCTCCAAGTTTGGCCCCAAAATTCATTTGACAGCAAATCCTGGCTTTAACTGATGTTGATTAATTTATAACCTTTAGTTATTCCACTTACTCTGAAGATCGATATGCTCAGTTGCAGCAACATTAATGTTTGCTAATGACGTGTTTTTCCAGGGCCTGAGGGAGGAGGAAAAGTTCTTACCTAGTTTTGGGTCCATGCACCTCATTGCCTTTGAAAAATTCTGTATCTCGAAGCACACAGGGCCTGAGGGTTGTGACCAGGGACTTTAGGTAGCGTTGGGGCTGGTGCCTGGGATCGAGACCTTTGGAGCTGTAGAAGGGATTTGAGGGAGAGGGATCCACGGCAGCCCACAACGCTGAGGTCTAGCTGTCACCCCTTGTCTCACTGTTAAGCCGGCTTCAGGGCAGGGACAGGCTGGGTCTGGGACCCATGCAGACAGTGAGTGCTCTGCCTGGGTTTGTGCCTCATTTACAGCTGGAAGGTCGGACTTTCTGAGTTTAGCTTTTTCTGTTTAGGATCAGTCTCCTCCTTTTCCCACAAATCACCTGATTTCCCCCAAACTCTGAAACACACCCTTTGGCTGAAAGGGAGGATTGGGCAATCTTCGAAACTCCCCATTTCTCTTCTCCCTGAAGCCCTGGCAAGAGCCGGATAGCAGACCGGGGAGGAAGATGCAGTTCTGGTTTCCAAAGCAGAGGGCGCTCCAAGACCAAGGCTGGACAACCCTTCCCTGGAGTGTGGTGGAATTTCGGACCGCACTCTGGGGCAGGGAATCTCATGCACGGATCCAGGACCGGAGAGGGGCCGGAGGTTCCTGGAGAGGGAGCGAGGCCAACCTGCCGCCTCTGGGGCCCGCAGGTCGCTTAGCATGACCGCTGGCAGGAGCGGGTAGACTGACTCACTGGCTCCCATCAGCGTCTGAAGGTAAAAGCCGCAAAACAGCTGCAGCGCTTTGGTGGAGGAAAAAGGAAAGGCAGAGACTTCTTAGAGCAAGGTTTGGGAAAGGATAGAGGGCTGGGAAGAGGAGAACTGGAGGGCCGGGATGTAGCTCAGCGGTACAGCGCCTGCCCGGCGAGCGTGAGGTCCTGAGTCCCCTCCCCAGTACCAGAAAAAAGAGTAGAACTGGAGAAGGCGACATAGACAACCTATTTCGGGCAGGCTGACCCCATCCACCCTGCCCACCCTCCATGTACCATTGTTTTCAGAGTTGAAAGCAATTTTGGCAAGACTTTTCTAGGAACTGTAGGGAAATACGTTGTCTTTATAATAAAAGAAACCAACTGACCAACCGACCTGGGAGATTGCTGTAGGAAACTGCTTTTCCCACCCTGGCTCAATGGGGCAGCACTGCCCCCCTCAGACCGACTCTCCCAAGGCCCTGCCCTGCCCTGTAGGAAGAAGCCCGCTCCCCCATCCGTGGTCTGTTGTCAGCAGAAGCACATGCGCCGGGAGCCCGCAGGCCGGGAGTGCTGGAGAATCACTGGAAAGGCGGGAAGGTCCCAGCTGGGTGGGCGAAGACTCCTGACAGCGAGGGAAACGGGGATATTATTGTTCTGCAAGGGCAGGAGAGAGACTGACAGAGGGGCCCAGGGTCGGGGAGGAGAACAGAAACGGCTTAGTCCAAAAAACTGGCAGAAAGGCCAGAGAAGCAATGGGAGGAGGATAAGATTTAGTTCTAGTCTAGAAAATTAGTTGAAGCTGGACCAGGGAGGCCAGGTGTCACGGGGTGACCACTGTAGTCCTGCTTGGTTAAACTGAGTTTTTCTTGGGCAGGTGACACTGAAACGCGGGTGACCTTGCACCACCAAAGCAGGCCTTCCACCAGTTCAGCTCCAAAGTCCAGAGGAGCAGAGAGGCGGGACCCCAGTCATGGGCAGATGGCCAGCCATGTGGTGAGTGAGCGGGGTCTCAGGAGATGCCCCTGGTCCCCATGCCTCCGCTTCTGAGAAGAGGTCGAGGGCCTGAAGCCTGGCTTTGGTTCACCTTGGCCTTTTCTTTATTCCGCCTTAAGATTCTCTTCCGTGGCCAGTTGGCTGCCCTTTGCTTCCAGCTCTGCGGGTCCCTGGGAGATGCCCCTCATTGTGCTTCCCCCCAGGTGCGCGGCGCTGTTTTCTCTTTGGGCCTGGACTCGTGCAGAGCCCGCCTTGCATGGGGAGATCCTGTCCCCTAACTACCCGCAGGCGTACCCCAACGAGGTAAAGCAAACTTGGGACGTTGAGGTTCCGGAAGGCTTTGGGATCCACCTGTACTTCACCCACCTGGACGTAGAGCTGTCGGAGAACTGCCTGTATGACTCAGTGCAGGTACGTCACTGTCACCTCACCAGAGGACATCGGGGAGGCCGGACCGGGGCGAGGCAGGGCAGGAGCGGGTGCCCAGGCCTTGTGGGAGTAAAGGGCCTCCTCCTGTCCCGTTTCCTGTCACATGTACCAAGACATTAGCCTTTCTTAGCATCTCTGTAACTCTTCCCTAAGATCGTGTCAGGAGGCGTTGAGGAAGGGAAACTCTGTGGGCAGAGGACAAGCAAGAACCCCAGCTCCCCAATCATAGAAGAGTTCCACATCCCGTACAATAAACTCCAGGTGACCTTTACGTCGGATTTCTCCAATGAAGAGCGTTACACTGGATTTGCTGCCTATTATGTTGCTGTCGGTAAGATTCGAAAGATTAGAAGCAGAAAAAAACTTGCACAATGCATCGAGTGAAGATTCATTTTTTGGTATCGGGGATTGAACTCAGGACCTTGCACGTGCAAGGCAGGCACGGTGCTGTTGAGCTAAATCCCCAGCCCTGAGTGAAGATTCTTTGTACAACTTTACAAAATATTAGCTGGGCATGGTGGTGCACACCTGTAATCCCAGCATTTGGGAGGCTGAGGCAGGATGATTGCTGAGTTGGAGGCCAACCTGGGCTACCTAGTGAGACTGTTTTTTAAAAAACAAAACAAAAAACAAAATATTGACTTGCCCCGTGTGCCTCCATGTGTTGCCTTTGTGACATGCAAAAGTATGATCATATCTGTGGTGATGATAATGACAACAGTAGATAAAAAATTGTAACTTGTTGAGAACCACTATGGATTGGGCACTGTGTTAGCAACTTGACTAAAGCAGCTTTGTCGTCACTGCAGCACTTCCAGGTAGGTGTCCTCATATAAAGACAGGGAAAGTGAGAGCTAACAAGTCAGTAATGTGGCAAGAATTGCACACAGAATGTGGCTCTCAGACCCATTCAATGGATGACATTCAAACCTTCAAATTACGGGTGCTTCTGCACCTATCTGCAAGTTGGAGTGGAGTCAGGACCTCTTGTGAACTTCTGTTCAGATCCGAGGGGAGGACCAGCGTTGTATAAAGAGGTGAATGTGATCATTAACCCCCTGCTGAAGACATTTGTGTTTGGCACTGAAACCAAGCAGGAAGTCAGTGGTGTGGGCACAGCCCTGGAGCCACAGTTTGATACGGAATGATGCCATTCTGAAATGTGGTTTTCTGAAGGCCTCTAGGCTCAAATCTGTCTTATTTTTCCTTACCCTTTTAGGTTTGGGGCTAACCTCACCCCTCCTCCTGGGCCTTTGTCCTTGACCCCAATCTTTCTCTACTCCTTGTAGATGTAAACGAGTGCATGGATTTTGCAGATGTCCCTTGTAGTCACTTCTGCAACAACTTCATTGGTGGTTACTTCTGCTCCTGTCCCCCAGAGTACTTTCTCCAGGATGATATGAGGAACTGCGGAGGTGAGCTTGGCACTAGAGGAGGCACCAGGAGGGGCTGAGACATCACAGAGGCTTTGCCTCTCTCCCAGTTTTGATTAGCTTCACCCTTCATTTGACATCTGTTCTCAATGACCCGTAAACTGAGAGAAGCACAGGAGGGGAAGAAGATGAGGTGTTTTAGTCAGCCTTCCATCACTGGGATGAAATGCTTGAAATAAGCAATTTAAAAGGGGGATATTTTAGCTCACGACTTCAGGGGTTCCAGTCCATGGTCAGTTGGCTAATGTCTTTGGGCCTGTGGCAAGGCAGAACATCATGGTTGGAGTGTGTGGTAGAATAAATCTGCTCCTGTCATGGTGGCCAGAAGCAGGGAGAGAGAGAGAGAAAAAGAGAGAGAGAGAGAGAGAGAGAGAGAGAGAGAGACTGGAATTCCAACGTTCACTGAAGGATGCGTCCACAATGACTCAACTCCCTTCCACTGAAACCCATCTTCTAAAGGTTCTACCGCTTCCCAGTAACACCACAGGCCAAGCCTTTAATGTATGGGACTTTAGGAGATATTTAAGATCTAAGCCGTAACACAAGGGTACAGGATAATTGGAGCAGAGAGCTAGATGCCCATGAAGAGTCCACAGAGGCTGCCATAACCATGGAAGTCTTCAACATAAGCAAAGTGACAGAAAGCTAACAGGCTTGAAGGTCTCCTCTGATAGGTACTGGGGATATAATTATTCCTGGGACTGCAGCCAGAAATGGATCCTAGGAGCATCTCATGAGGGGCCATCAGTTTGTGACAGAAGGGACTGTAGACTTGGGCAGGAACTTCTTGCTTGGGCCCCTGTCTGATTCTCCCTTGCTGTTTTTCTCCCCCAGTCAATTGCAGTGGGGATGTATTCACCACACTGATCGGGGAGATTGCAAGTCCCAATTATCCCAATCCGTACCCGGAGAACTCAAGGTGTGAATACCAGATTCGGCTGGAGGAGGGCTTCCAAGTGGTGGTGACCATGAAGAGAGAGGATTTCGACATGGAACCAGCCGACTTGGAAGGGAACTGCCCCGACAGCTTAGGGGTACGCGGTGGTGACTGACTCTTGCCATCACCCTGGCTCACACAGGAGAGGATGATTTCTTCCTGTTCCCCTCTCCTCCCCCTCTCCTCCCCCTCTCCTCCCTTCTACTTCTTTTCTTTTTTTCTGGTACTGGGAATTAAACTCAGGTTCTTTGCACTGAGCTAATTCCCCAGCCCTTTTTTATTTTTTATTTTGACGCAGGTCTTCCTAAATTGCCCAGGTTGGGCTCGAATTTTCAGTCTTCCTGCCTCAGCCTCCCAGAGTGCCAGGATCGCAGAGTGCCACTATGCTTCAAGAAGAGATTTCTTCTCAAAGACAAAATTATCTTTCTTCCTTTCCCTTATTTTCTCCTTTCCTCCTTATTTGCTCTCCTATTTATTATCTTCTTTACTTTTATCTCCCTGGCCCCATTTTACCTCTTTCCTTTTATTATTTCTCTCTCCTGTTTTCATCATTTTGTTTCCTTTCAGTTTGTCACAAGGGATCAGCGGTTTGGTCCGTACTGTGGGAATGGATTCCCTGGGCCACTAACTATAGAAACCAAGAGTAATACTGTTGATATCGTCTTTCAAACTGACCTAACAGGGCAAAAGAAAGGCTGGAAACTTCGCTACCATGGAGATCGTGAGTAGCCTAGAAGTCCCTCTTTGGTTGGTGATACCAAAGTCCCTGGACAACATAGAATCAAAACAGATTCTTTTTGGTAGAGTACTGAGATACTTTAGTTCCTCTGGAAGCTCGAACCCTGTCAGTGTTGCTAGAAAGGCCTCACTGCCTAATAAGCCTTCAGCTGGGTGGTGCAGACGACATGGGGTAGTGAGTCGATACAGCCTTATTATGTTGGAATGTGAGGCCCTGGAATTGAGGACAATTGAATGATAGAAAATGCGAGAATGATGTAGAAAGAATAGTCTCCAACTATCTTGTAAAATATTTTTTTTCTTTCCCACCTTCCGTCTTTTCCAAGCAATCCCCTGCCCTAAAGAAGTCTCTGCCAATTCTATTTGGGAGCCTGAAAAGGCAAAATATGTGTTTAAAGATGTGGTGAAGATAATCTGTGTGGAAGGATTCGAAATTGTGCAGGTAAAGCATGCTCAGCTTCCCCGAAGGTCTCTGGCCAGGTCAGGATCGACCCCCTGCCCGGTCTGCTGCCTGGTATCCCATAGGCTGGGGCGTGACCACGCTTGCATGGACAGAATGGCTTGGCTCTTCGCCCCTGGGAGTCATGGAGCTCTGTCTGTGGCCAGCTTGACGCCCTTGCTGTGCTCTGCATCCTCCTGTGGAGGAGCAGCTGACTGTTGTCTTTCAGTCCCAAGTCCTGGGTGCTTTGGGTCATTCTGCTGAGATGCTCCTAAGCTTTTGTGTGTGTGTGTGAGAGGACTCCTCATTGATCCGAGACCAGAGATCAATTCCACTTTTGGTTTTGATTCCTCATCTCTCTCTTTTTTTTAATTAATGATGATGTCTATTATTCTCTAGGGCAGTTCCAGCTCAACGTCTTTCTATTCTACTTGTCAAAGCAATGGAAAGTGGAGTGACATTTCCAGAGTGAAATGTCAACGTATGTGTCCCATCAACGAGGAACTCTTTTTTTCTCCCCTCTCAGTGGCAATTGCAAAATCTGCACAACGAAATTCAAATGTGGGGCTGTGGGGTGGTGGTGCATGCTGGCAATCCCAGCTACTCTCGAGGCTGAGACAGGAAGATCTCAAGTTTGAGACCAGCCCAGGCAGATTCGTGAGACTCTGACTAAAACAAAAGGCTGGGATGGAGCTCACTGGTGGAGCCCTAGGCTAGCATATGCGAGGCCCCGGGATTCATCCCCAGGACTCTGTGCCCCGGTTCAGACGCACGCTTTCTTCTTAGGCCGGTGAGAGAGTAGCTGGGTTTGTGGAGGGAAACCAGTCATGGACAATCTGTCAGTTCCAGCCCTGGTCTGGTCCAGGTCTGTTAGACTAGCAGCTTTCTCCAGAGAAAGGAGCTGTGGAGGTGGTAGATAGGACCCCCAAGTAGGTGTGTTCTTGGCTTCTGTGGGATCCTCCACCAACCACGGAGAGCCAGGGTCCTCTCAGAAGCTTTTCTGGCAGATCTCTGCAGGCTGGGGGCTTGGCTGGGCTCTTGGAGAGGCTGGTGTGGGGAGATTCATCCTGGGTGCTTATGGATACTGGGAGGGATGAAGTCGGGCTGGAGCTGGCCCCAGAGCTCTTCCGGGGGAAGTGGCTGCCGGACCACGCCTGTCCTCCCCTCCTCTTGTAGCTGTAGACTGCGGTACTCCTGAGCCCGTTCGAAATGGCAACGTTGAAGAGCCAGAAGATACTTTGTTTGGTTCTCTCGTTCGCTATGCTTGTGAGGAGCCGTATTACTACATGGAACATGAAGGGAGTGGTAGGTTTCTTCCACCAGCGTCACGAGGGGGAGCGGGAGGGTGTGTGAAGAGCGTGCTCTCTGGGTTGGAGAGTTTGCATAAGTGAGGGAGACAGGACAGTGATTGCCACCCTCTTGGCTGAGCCTAAAGACACAGCTTCCATGTGGGGTGGGGGATGTTCTCAAGGTCACTGCAGGAATCTTAGCGGTCAGCTCAGCTCGAGGCTGCAGTGGAGCCCCTGGCTGACCCATCGAATGTGGTCATTCAGCCTTGGACCAGGCATCCTTGCAAAACGCACAGGGTGGCGTTTCTAGCTGGAAGTTGATGTGTTATGGTGACTGGCTTTCTTTTTCTTTTTCTTCTTCATTTCATTCATTATTGTTTTTCTTGCGGTGCTGGGGGTCGAACCTGACATGCTCATGCATGCTGGGCAAGCCCAGCTCAGGTCTGGCTTCCTTGATGTAGAGGCCTCACTACTGGGCCAGACACAGTGTGATTCTTCCATGGGAAGGGAGGCTGACTGGTGGCTGTGGCCTGTGCTCTCTTGCTCTTCCAGCCGAGTACCAGTGCTCTGTTAACGGGACCTGGGTGAACGAGGTGCTGGGCGCAGAGCTGCCGAAATGCGTTCCAGGTAAGCGGGGCTTCCGTATGGGTGGGGACCACAACCATAGGCCCGGGATGTGGGGCCGCCTTTGGGTGTAGCTGTAACCCTCTGGGGCGAGGCTTTACCTGGCCTTCCAGGGTCCTGAGCAGTGAGGCGGCGGTGACACGAGGCTGTTGTCCTGCCAGGCTGTGGGGAGTTCCCCCAACCACCGAGTCGGCCGGCTGGAAGGGAATGGAAAAGTCAGCTGCCGACAGAAGCAGGGCCTGAGAGTTGAGAGTGAACAATCATCATTCAAACACCTAGTTATTATATTAAAAGTCTGTATGGCAACAAGGTACAGAGGGAAAAAAGAAATGAGGGATTGTAGCTGGGCGTGATGGCGCACACCTGTGATCTGGCACTTAGGAGCCGGAGGCAGGAGGATCACACGAGTTTGAGGCCAGCCCAGGCTACATAGCGAGTTCAAAGCCAGCCTGAACTATACAGTGAGATCCTGTCTCAGAGTGGGGGGCGGGAAGGGGTTGAGGAGGATCAGAGTTGAGTCGAGGGTGGCACTGGGGCAAAACCTGAATAATACTGATGCTGGTGATGACCAGCACTGGAGACCAAGTCAGAGTGTTGCATTTGTCACCCGCATCCTGTGACAGTCCTGTGCAGTAGTGTTAAGCATGAGTGACCCGAATGTGAGCTCACAGAGTTAGTAAGGAGCAGGGCCAGGTTTCAAACCCAGGTAGCAAGGACTTAGATTCGCTGGCTTTGCCTGCAGTTCACTGCTGGGGCGTGGCAGAGCCATCCTACCCTGAACCAGCCTGTGGGAGTGGGAGGTTGGGTCAAAGTGGAGAAGCCTCTCTCTACTTCATGGCGGGCCTGGAACTTGCTCTGAGGGACCCAGGCACAGCTAGGCCTGCAGTAAAGGTGACAGGCAAGGGTTCTGCCTGGGCGTCAGGGGGAGTGGAAAGCTTGGCTCCTCCGAAGGCTGCCAGGAAAGAGGCTCCCAGCTGGGCTCCGGCATGAAGTGTGCCCGAGAGGGCTGGGCCAGCCGTGGGTAGCAGAGCACACTAGTTCTGGACTCTGATGCACGCTCTGCCTCTGCGTAGCCAGTGTCTCCTACAAGTCTGCAGGTGGCATTGGCAAAGGGGGACAGCTGGGCAAGGTTAGGATAAATCGAATATGGAGAGGGCGGACTGTGCTGGAACTCTGCTTCCCGGCAGTGAATTACGGGAGTGGCCTGAGGATTCTCTGAAGGTAGCGTCCTTTCCTGTCCCTCCTGTCCTTCTGCCTTCCCAGTGTGTGGAGTCCCCAGTGAGGCCTTTGAGATGAAACAGCGGATATTCGGGGGATCCTTTGTGAAGATTGAGAGTTTCCCCTGGCAAGTGTTCTTCCGTTCCGAGTGGGCCGGGGGCGCCCTCCTTGATGAGCACTGGGTGCTGACTGCGGCCCACGTGGTGGAGGGAAACCCTCACCCGGCCATGTACGTGGGCTCCACCACCGTGCAGACCTCGGAGCTGGACAAGGCCCAGGCGCTCACCGCTGAGCGGGTGTTCATTCACCCAGGCTGGCACCCGGCGCCCAGCCAAGGCGCACGCAAGAATTTTGACAATGACATTGCGCTTGTGCGGCTGAAAGAGCCGGTGAAGATGGGCCCGACTGTGTCCCCCATCTGCCTGCCCGGCTCGGCCTCCAAGTACAACTTCTCCGTGGGGGACCTGGGCATGATCTCAGGCTGGGGCAAGACGGAGAAAAAAGATTGGGTTTTGAGACTCAGAGGGGCCAAGTTACCCATAACGACCTTAGACATGTGCCAGGAGGTGAGAGGGAAAGATTCGCAAGTGGAGCCCAGGTCGTACGTCTTCACCGAGAACATGTTGTGCGCTGGAGGGGCGGGCGTGGACAGCTGTCAGGGAGACAGTGGGGGGGCTTTGGCTGTCAAGAAGCTCATTGAAAAGAGCCCCAAATTCTATGTAGCTGGCCTGGTGTCCTGGGGACTCGAGTGCGGGACCCACGGGATCTACACCAAGGTTCAGAACTACATTGGCTGGATCAGGGCAACCATGCAGGAGAACAGCACCCCCCGTGAGGACTGACGGAGCCCGGGCGCTTGCTCCTTGTCATGGCCCCTCCCATTCGCCATGACCAAGAGGAGACAGGGCCCTGGGTAGTGCAGAGTGAGACAGTCAGGATACCAGGGCGGAGGTCGTGTTTGGTCACCCTGTTGTGTTCGAGACTCAGGTGTGGCCTGCAGGTAGCCTAGGGGAGGCCACTCCTGTCTCCCGAGATTCTCCAGGGATTCCGTAAGTTTCTGTGTCTTCTTTTACTTGTTTGAGATTCTATTTGCTGTACCATCCTCAATGCCCATTCATTATCTGCTCCCAATAAAGCACGTTTATAGCTCAGCTCCAGCTGACTGACTTTGTTCCCCATCAGGACTTCAGAGCCCAGAGCCGGAAGTGGAAGGAGAGGGCACCTAGCAACTCAGATTTAAGTGCCAGGAAAACAGCTTTTCTGCTTTCTTCAGGGGAGACTCCTGAATATGGTGCTGTTAGAATTGGCTGGGTTTTTTGGTTTGTTTGCTTGTTTGATTGGTTTTGAGATAAAGTCTCTAAGGCTGGCCTTGAACTCACTGTGCAGCCCAGGCTGGCCTCAAACTTGCAATGATCCTCCTGCCTCAGCCTCTCTCTCTCTCTGGGGATCAGACCCAGAGACTGATGCTCACCCTGAGGACAGGAGTGCTATCTTAGGGTGATGCCATCCTATGAAAGCCGAGGGTTCTAGGGAACGCTGCCTGTGCAGAGTGACAGTGGCTTCCAGGATGGCAGTTGTCACCAGAAGCCCACAGGGTGTGCGTGGGGCTTGTCAAGAAAGGACTCTGATCTCCACAGACCCGCAGCACTGAGTGCAGTGGCTGACTTTAGACGGTGTGTGTGTGTGTGTGTGTGTGTGTGTGTGTGTGTGTGTGAACACCTTCGAGGTGCCAGGACTCGGACAGGATGGCCTGAGTGGCCACAGCACAGCACAGGCTGGCGCCAGGGCACCCGGCGGCACAAAGCCATGGTGCTGCCCCGTGCCATGCAGCGGGACTGACAGTGGACACTGGACTCCAGGGCTTAGGTGGGAGGAGGAGGATTTCTCTGAAGAAAAAAGACATTGTAGAATATTAGGTCTGAGAAACAAAGGGGGCTGGTGAGACACACCTATAATCCCAGCACTTCTCCAGAGGCTGAGGCAGGAGGATTGCAAGTTTTTGTTTTTTTTTTAATATATCAATTGGTACATTTTAGGTATACAATACGTTTACATTTATCATTGGGTGCTTGTACCTGTACGTGATGTATCTTGGTTCTTATTTTTTCCCCATTCCCTGTGCACCCTTCACCCCCTCCACCCTTCCCTATTTACATAGATTTCGTTCCCATTTTCTTTCCTTTCTCATAATTTTTCCTTTCTCTTCTTCTCTTTCCCCTTCCCCTCCCACCACCCCTACCCCTTTGGACCTTTTCCTATTTCAAATTATCAATTATTCATTTTAATTATTTTCATCCTTATTTACACTTTCAGTTTCTTACACTAGAGAAACTATTTGGTATTTACACATGTGTGTCCTATTTATTTCATTTAAGAGGATGGCCTCAGTGTGCATCCATTTAGCTACAAATGTCTCTAGTTTCTCATTCTTTATGGCTGAGTAGTACTCCATTTTATAAAAAAAACACATCTTCTTTATCCAGTTTCCAGTTGGTGGGCACTTGGGCTGTTTCCAAGCTTTAGCTATTACAAACTGTGCTGCTATAAACATGGGTGTGCATATATCACTGTGGTATGATTCTTTTACTTCTTTTGGGAAGATAACCAGCAGGGGAATAGCTGGATCAAATGGGACCTCTAGTCCTAGTTCTTTGAGGTATCTCCATACTGATCTCCACAGTGGTTGCACCAATCTACACTCCCACCAACAATGGAGAAGGGTTCCTTTCTCTCCACACCCCCACCAGCATTTGTTATTGGTTGATTTCTTGATAGCAGCCATTCTTTGTGGGGTGAGGTGGAATCTCAGTGTTGTTTTCATCTGCATCTCTAGAATGACCAGTGAAGGATTGCAAGTTTGAGTCCAACCTAGGCAACACTCTGTCTCAAAAAAAAAAAAAACAGGGGCCGGGCTGTAGCTCAGTGCAAAGGCCCTGGGTTCAATCCCCTAAAAAAGAGAAAGATTGAGAAACACAATCTGTGATAGAGACATTCCTTTTTCTTCATATACTTGGAGTAACAGCAAAAACCAAACCAGGAGTTTGACCAGTTAACAAAAAAAAGGAGTTTGCTCCTTCCAGTGAAAATCTTCAATCTATTTGGGTTCTGCCCTTGCTGATGGGCTGAGGGGCTGGGAGAATTCCCTCTTTGCTATGGCTTCCCTGAATCATACAAGGGGTTTTCATTTTGCACGGTTTATTCAACTGTAAGTTTCTTCAGCTCCGGGGATGGTGGCACATGTCTTTGATCCTGGTACTTGGGAGGCTGAGGTAGGAGGATTGCCACAAGTTTGAGATCAGCATGGGCTACATAGTGAGCTCAGGGCAGCCTGAACTACATAGCAAGATCTTGTCTCAAAACAAACAAACAAACAAACAAACAAACAAAAAACAAAACCCAAGGAAACAAAACAATCACCCTTCCAAGTTACTGCTCTGGGGAGCCACCTCTTCCAGCCAGGGTCCCCTCCTAATAACACATCCAGCTATGGGCTCACCAATGGATCAACCACTGATTAGTACGGAGCTCTCAGGATCTAACCCCCTTCCAACACCCCGCTCCTGAACTCTGGAGACTTTTGGGCAACATTTTAAGTCTAAACCCTAACAAAGGGTGTCAGACACACTGCCCAGTGAGCTGTTTGACAGCAATGCACATCTGCCTGAATTTCATCTTTCCTGAAATTCAAGAAACCATTTCCGTTTATTGTGGTACTAGGGATTGGACCCAGAGTCCTGAAATAAGCTACATCTTGAACCCTTTTCTCTTTTGAGAAGGGTTTTACTAAGTTCCCCAGGCTGGCCTCAAACTCACAGCCCCCCTGCCTCAGTCTCCAAGTAGCTAGGATTGCAGGCATGTGCCACCATCCCCAGCTGGGAAGTGTTTTTTTTAAATTTATTTCTTATTTTCTGTGGTGCTGGAGATTAAACCCTGCACCTTCAGCATGTTAGGCAAGCACGTCACCATTGAGCTACTCACCCAGCCTAAGAAACCTTTTTAAGGCAGGTGAATTGTCAGTTTTCTTTGGTCAGGAGAAAATGGAACCATAGATCATTGTGTTAGTCAGTTTTTCATTACTGGAACAAAATACCTCAGACAACCAGCTTAAAAAGAAGAAAGGTTTGTGTTGTCCATAGTTTTGGAGTTTCTAGCCCATGATCCACTGGCCTGGTTGCCTTGAGCCTGCGGCAAGGTGGTGTATTACGGTGAGGTGCCCTGCTCACTTCCTGGTGGCTGGGAAGTGAGGAGAGAGAAAGAGCCAAGGTCTCAAGAGCACATCCCCAGTGACTTAGCTGCCTGCTGCTTGGTCCCACATCCTGAGGCTCCAGCACCTTCCAAGAGGGCCTTCAGCGACAGACAGGCTTTAGTAATCTGCAGCTCATGGGGTGGGTGGGGGGAGGTAGTTAGTGTCTCGAGGCCCAAAGGACTCCATGGAAAGCACTGTAGTTGCTGGAGCAGCCGAGGAGAGGCTGGGAAGGATTCTGGGACCCTTTACTGAGATTCCTAACGTCAGAAGTATATTCTGTGACAGTATCTATATTTTCTGTATATCTGTTCTGTTCTTTTTCTTTTTCTTTTTCTTTTTTTTTGATACTAGGGATTGAATCCAAGATCTTTGCACTGAGCCACATCCCCAGTCCTTTGTAAAAGTTTTTGAGTCAGGGCCTGGGTAAGTCACTGAGTTGCCCAGGCTGGGTGGGCTCTGATGTCTGATCTCCTTGCCTCAGCCTGCCAGAGGACTGGGGTTACGGGTGAGTGCTACCATCCCTGGCTTGTTCTGGTCTTTTGAAATTAAAAATTGGAGGAAACTCTACTCTTGGTCAAATCCATAAACTCTGGTGTATATTTTTCATGATGGTTTAACAACAACCCTCTTTCTTTTGAGATACAAATTGGCTGAAAATTGTGGGTAGTGCAGCAGAGAGGTGCTGTGTGCCATCCTTCACTTCCCATCACAGTGACGTCTTGGGGAACTGCAACAGCAGAACCAGGAAGCTGCCTCTTGGAGCAATGAGTGCGTGCAGTTCTGTGTCATCTTTGCATGCTGGCTCTTCCTGTCACCATCACTGCAGTCGTATACAGAGCTAATCCATTGCCACAAGGATCCCCCTCCCTCTGCTTTATAGTCACACGCTTCCCCTTTGCATTTTCTCTTATAGTTGTGCTGAGATAGCTTGGAAGGGTCCAGCATCTCCCCATTGTGCTAAGGGGATTAAGGGACATGGATTTCGGGTGTCACCACTGTGTCGCCGGGTCTGGGATGTCCCCAGAGGCCTGGAGGCGAATGCTCAGGCTTGAGCGACCTGGAAGCCCCAAGAGGAAGAATTCAGTCTTCTCCCGGAACCAAGGATGGGCAAGGGCTGACCCAGGAGGCTCCGCAGAGGTTCTCTGAGAGAGATTTAAAGTGCATCAGTCACCGTGCTGGACCTCTGAAAACCACAGCCCTTCTCTGTTCTGTATTCTATTTTCTTTGTGGCTCTGGGGATGAACCCAGGGTCTCACACATATGCAAGTTGCCCAGGCTGGGCTTGAATCTGTGACCTGAGAGTCTCCCAGAGTGCTGGATTGCAGGTGTGGAGCACACTGCCTGGCTGTCCTGCACAGTGAGAACGTACAGCCTCCTCACAGCTCTTGCCTTGCCTGTGCTGGTGCTGGTGCCGCTGTTCTTAGCTGGGAAAGCTCACAACTAAGCACAACTCTCAAAAAGGTGAGAGTTTCCCAGAGAGCAACTCTTTCACTTTTGGTTCACGATCACAGATCTCAAATGAACCTTGAACTCAGTCCCAGGCCATCAATTCCCCAATCCAACACCAGGAAGCCGATCAGGGCTCACAAGTTCAAGCCTGGCCTGCACCACTTAGTGATTTAGAAGATGCTGTCTCAGGATAAAGAGTAGGAAGGGCTGGAGATGTAGCTCAGTGTGGAGACCCAGGGTTCAGCCCCCAGTACTGCTAACAAGGGAAAGAGGCCCCAATCCATTCCGAATCCTGCTTCTCCATGGCATTATTTCATTCCTTCTCTCCTCAAACCCCCAAGGCTCCCCCATCCTCACCTGCAGCCGAGGGCCTTATTTTCTACTTCACCAAGGGAAACGAAGGACTAAAGAGGACCGCGAGCCCAGCCCATGCGCTGCTATGCCAGCAGTGTCCTGTGAGCTCGGCTCACTAACCAGATTCACCGTTGTCACTGCCATCTTGCCTCTCTGCTGCACAACTCCCATCGGCGTGTCAACAAGGCTGCTGTCCCTCCAACCCCCAAACCGGCTCTCCTCGACCGACCGTGGTCTTCCAGCTGCTTGTCCTGTTTCTCTCTTCTCCTCTCCTCTCCCATGTGGTATGGAGGTGGAGCCCACTGTGTGCTACACAAGTGCTCTACCCCTGAGCTACACTCCTGGCCCTGGCTCACCCTATTTCTCGTTCCCTTTTGCAGCGAACTCCTGAACATAATTGATGATACAGGACTTTTCCCCCACTTCCTCTCCTCCCACTCACCCGACCTGAGTCTGGCTGTTTTCCCCCGGGTCTTTCCACCAAACTGTGGATTGCCAAGGCCCTATTCTACGCACGCTTGGTCCTCCGTCTTCCCCTCCCTCAGGGTGTGCTTTCTTTCCTGGGTGTCTGAGACTCTACAGCTTCTGGGGTTTTCTCTCCTCCCTCCTGGCTGCTGTCTCAGCTTAGACATGAGAGCTGTCTGAGGCAGGGCCTCTGTCTTCTCTCCCCAGTGTGCTGTGGACTGTGAGGGTTTCCCACGCGCTGGTGGATCCTGGTGATGGCAGAGTACTGTTACCTGTGAGGATCTGACACGCTTTTGTTTTTTTATTTCTCCATCCTCAGGTAATTTCTTCCCTGTAGAGGACTGACTAATGGTCAACTTGTAAGGCCCGGCTGAACTGAATCAGCGTGGTCTGGGTATCGAGGATCCACCTGAAGACTGCTGTCAATAACCATAAAAAGGGAGCTGCGGGGGCTGGGGATATATCTCAGTGGTGCCACCACCTACCTCGCAAGTGCAAGGTCCTGAGTTTGATCCCTGGTACCAAAAAAAAAGGGAACTGCGGGGGAAGATTGTGGGCTGTTGATTTGCTAGGAGAAGCTTCCTGCAGATGGTTTTCCTGATGTGAACGTGGCTGTTCTCATTGGAGGAGGAGCTTGGAGCCTCACTGTTGCTGGGATGGCTGCTGTTTTCATTAGGGGAGCTCTGATCTCCACCATGAGCATCACTTCCTGGCTTCAGTGTGGATCACCTAGCTTGGTGGCACAAATCCTTCATCTCACCAGCCTAGATTTTCTGGCTTCCACCACTGGCCTTTGGGCCTTCCAGGTGCAGATCCTCAATACCAAGCATGAGACATTGCCGTGGGCTCTAGGCCACTGGCCGGACTTGTGGAGGACATTGCCTTGGACTCTAATCCTTAGCTGGACTTGTGTGGGAAACTGCTGGTATCCAGGCCCTCAGCTGGACTCTTTAGTCCCCTAGTGTGTGTTAATCTTTTATAGTCCTTTGCATTTGACTTTTTGGGTAATTATCATAAAATAATCTTAGAAATTATGTGTCCTGTATTTAATGTATTCCCTTGCCAAATCCTGCTGACTACAATACTCCCCAACCTCTTACCATGGTTTGTATCAATTTATATTCTAAAAAAAGACGCATGAGAGTGACTTTTCATCTTCACCAGTGTAGTGTATTACCTCTCCTCATTTTATAGGGAAAAAGATGGTGTTTATTAAATTACATTCCTTATTGTGCGTGAAATTAAGCTCCAAAGCCCTGACCCGAACTGTTATTTTCTTTTCTGTGAACTATTAGGTGTAGAGTGTTGGTTTTGTAGTCCATAAGTTTCTACTCCATGCACTTGAAGAATATATAACACATATAACTTTGAAGGAAGGGACTAGGAGCTCAAAGCTCAGAGGTTGTCATTTGATTGTTTTGGAGATAGTTCTGATTATTAAAAATAAGGAGCTGGATGGGGTCACTCATGCCTATAATCCCAGCAACCTAGTGATTTAGTGAGGCCCTATCTCAAAATCAAAAGGGCTGAGGGGTGGTGTGACTCAGTGGTAGAGTGCTTCCCTAGCATGCTGGAGGTCCTAGGTTAATCTCAGTACAACAGAAACAAAAACAAAAGCCAAATAAATTGGACACACTTGTTTCAATACCGCATTGTTTCTCTGTTGTGAGAAACCGAAAGCAGAAATAAGGACTGAGAGGTATAATGGGTGTTGGGAAATGGGAAGAAAGTGTTCCAATGGGAAGGGGAACAAGGGAGGAGGGAGGCAGGAAGGGACAAGAGAAAGAGTGAGAATAGAAGGAAAAATGGAAACAAAGCTTTTGTACATGGAGGGGATGGGGGATGGGATAAAATAAAATTAAATAAAAAAAATAACAAAACCTGACAGTCAACCTCTACTCCTTAAACGTATCACACACCACTTGTGTGTGCTGTTGTGTGGACTATGAGAAAAAGTTTTTTTCTACCATTTCTTGAAATCCACAATCTTGATCTCCAAAATACTCTAAAGGGTAAAAGTTTTCTTATTAGATTTGGTGCCAAGATTTATTTAGTGGAGAAATATGACTGGAGCTGACGGGTAGCCATTTAGAGACATTATCTCTCTTACTGTGAATATTCATGTTTTTTTTTTTCAAATCACTCATCTGTTTTTAATGACAAGGTGGTTCCCTGGGCCCTGCAGGGACGCCACAGGACTGACGTTACCTCTGTTACATTTCTGAAACCTATTCAGGCTTGGCTCCGGAAGAGCACTTGCCAGCAGGGATCCCAGAAGGGTGTGTTTGAATGTGGAAACACTCACTGCTTGGGAATGTTCACTGCTGCACAGGTCTTCACCTGTTGGATCAGGTAAGGCTGTGTAAACAGGTCTGCAGCTGCTACTTCTGCAGTAAGGCGATCGTGTTGTTATAAAGACTTGGGAAGTTTATTGCAAGGTTTGGGCCTGTCTCTGAATATTCATTATATCTTAAAAAGTCCACAGGATTTAAAAATACTGTTGGTGATTCAACTTGAAGACAAAAATTTCATACTACTCCTACCTTAAGGAATATTTAGAGATGGGAAGGTGAGCTGTTAGAAAATCTGTTAGAGGGGCTGGGGATTTAGCTCAGTCGCCCTGCTGCCTGCTGTGAAAGCGCAAGGTTCTGACTTTGAACTCAGGTACCAAAAAAAAAGGCTGTTATATAGACAACTATGTGTGTGAGAACCAGGATTTTCTTCATATGATACAACGAAAACCAAATGTAGACATATACCGTTAGCCTTACCTGAAATGTAAATGTGTGCATAAATTCAATAGCTCTTACTGCCTAAGTAAATATTTTAACATGGTCTTATTAAATATTTTTATCTTAGACACTATTTTTTATTTATTTAACATACTGTAATCTCTTATACAATTTATTTGGAGTGGGGCTTATTCAGTTTTCCAATGGTATAAACGTGGAGAAGGAAAATGAGAATTAGAAATTGATAGCTATATCTGCCGCGATCCTTAGAGGGGTGAAAGGCACCTTTTGTTTAAAGAATGTGGACGGGACGATAGGAAAGAGAATTTGCTTCACACAGTGTCCTTCTGCATAGTGGTTTTAGCGAGTTCTTCATGGTCATTCACTGGGCCGGTGACTTTGCTTTTGGACACTGAGCTCTGACTCCCGGGACCCGGGCTCAGTCCTCCTCCTCCCCCATCTCTTTCTTGATCCAGTCCACGTAGTTGAGTAACTTGGTGTAGAAGCCATAGCCCTTGCCGCACCCAATGCCCCAGGACACGATGCCCGTGGCCACCCAGCGGTTGCTGGTGTGGTCCCTCACAGCAAAGACGCCCCCGCTGTCCCCCTGGCAGGCATCCTGGCTGACAAACGGGTCCCCGGCGCAGAACATGTTTGGAGAAAACACCTCGTCCCGGCGCTTGCTCCGCAGCCAGCTCTCACAGGCCTTCCGCTCAGCCATGGGCAGCCGGATGAACCTGAGGTTGAAAGAGACCCGTTCCTCCATAATCCCGAAGCCGCTGACGTAGCCCATGAGGCCGTGGTCGTAGAAGGTCTCGTTGTCGGGGAGGCAGATGGGGAGGAGCTGTGGGCCCAGGGCGACGCTGTTCTCCAGCTCCAGCAGGGCGATGTCCCCATCAAAGTTGTGGGACTGGTCCTGGCGGTAGTCGGGATGGATGCGGACACTCCGCACAGGGTGGTTGGACAGTTTCCTGAGCTCATACACATTGGTGTGGCCCAGGAAAACCTCCATGGTTTTGTTGTTCTGGGTGCTGTGGTCCTTGGGGTACAGGGTGTGGGCAGCGGTGAGGACCCAGCGGTCCCCCAGCAGGGCGCCCCCGCCAGGGCCGTAGCGGTAGGTATACGCCTGCCAGGGGAAGTTGCCTGGCTTGGCTGTCTGCCCGCCGATGATGCGCTGCTTCTGCTCCACCGGGTTCACGGGCTTCCCGCACACTGCAGGAGGGACAGACAGATGGGGACATCAGCCAGCCGCCCACTGCCTCTCCCTCCCTCCCTTCCGGTTCTCGCTCTTTTTTCCCCTCCATCCCTACACCCATTGGCCTGTCCCTCCTTCTGGTTTATTTCCTCCTGGCATTTCTCTAGCTGTTTTTATTCCCTGTCTTTCCTGCTGCTGGGAAGCTGCTGGGATGTTGGAATGTGTCCGTTTCCCTGCTTCTCTCTCCCTTTCTGCTGGGCGCCTTTCCTCACTGCTCCTCTGTCTCCTCTCTCCAGGCCGCGCCTTGTCTGGGCTCCAGCGGCTGCACGGACGCGCCGGGCCTGGCCCCGGAGGGTGCCACTCACCTGGCAGACACCGCGGAATCTTCTCCCCCTCCTGCTCGTTCTTCCAGATGCCCTGGGCAGTGCAGGTGAACAGTCCTGCGAAAGAGGGCGGCGGTCAGAGGGGCGACAGGCAAGGGCGCAGGGCAGAGGCTGGGGTGCAGCAAGCCGTCGGACGGATGGGGGATAGGGGGCCTCAGAAGCAGGGAGGACAAGGATCAGAGTTCACCAGTTCAAAGCTGTGTGAATTAATAGCAAAAGCGCTGAGAGGATCCATCCACATATTTTTTTTTTGGTACCAGGGATCGAACTTGGGACCTTGTGCTTGCAAGGCAGGCACTGGAACCACTGAGCTAAATCCCTGGCCCCCATCCACATATTTTTGTCTTAATGTTAAGTTTAAAAAAATCAGAACACTGAACTATATGTGTGAGGTGGGCCTATTTGTGGAAACAGAAATAAACACCAGCAAGAATGTATCTGAATCTCGCATCTTAACAGTGATTGTATCTTGGCAGCGGAACTGTGGCTACATTTTTGACTGCTGACAGAGTGCCGGGCTTGTTCCTAGGTACTTTTTCTGCATTGTTTCATTAAGCACCATGGTGACACTTTGAGGTGTGTGTTACTCTCATTCTATAGACAAGGAAATGGAGCTTAAATAGTCTGCACCAAGAGCCAGGCGTGGTGGCGTGGGTATGCCTGTGATTCCAGCACTCTGGGAGGCTGAGGCAGGAGGATCATAGGTTGGAGTCCCATCTGGGGGATTTAGTGAGACCTTGTCTGAAGAAATAAAAAGGCCTGAGGATGGAGTTCAGTGTGAAGGCCCTAGGTTCATTCCCTACTACTGGGGGAAAAAAAATTGGCACACGGTCGCAGAACTTCTAGCATTAGTTTTTTTTTGGTACTGGGGATTGAACTCGGGACCTTGTGCTTGCGAGGCAGGTGCCTGAACCACTGAGCTAAATCCCTGGCTCTAGCATTAGAATCAAGATTAAAAGTGAGGGTTTCTGACTCTAAAGCCCAGCCCTAAATGAGCATCACATACAACCTAGGATTTGTACTTGTTTCAAATGTGTTTTTTTTTCTTCCAGTACTGGGGATCAAACTCAGGATCTTTTGCTTGCAAGGCAGGTGCAGTGCCATTGAGCTACATCCCTGGCCCTTTTCTCTTCTTTTTGGTACCAGGGATTGAACTCGGGACCTTGCCCTTGCAGGGCAGGCAGCAGAACCACTGAGCTAAAGCCCTGGCCCTTTTTTGTGGGAGTGCGTTTTGAGACAAGGTCTCACTATGTAGTTCATACTGGCCTTGAACTCACTATGCAGCACAGGCTGGCCTCCAACTCGAGGCAATCCTCCTGCCTCAGCCTCCCGAGTGCTGGGATTCCAAACTTTTGCCACCAGGCCCAGGACAAACATGTTTCCTGTGCTGAGAATTGAACTCAGGGCTTCGCACATGCTAGGAAAGGACTTTACTACTGAGCTACACTCCCATCCTTCTTTGAAAGTGTTAAAGAGATCCGTAGATGGTTGGAGAGTAACTAAATAAATCTAAATACAAAAATATCACCACCTATGCCAGCCTGAGAGGGGAGAGTGGCAGGGAGTGTTCCCTTGGGACTGGTGTGAGGATGGCAGTACCAGTATGGTGACGTTGGTGGGGATAGGAGTGCTGGCAGTGAGCGTGCTCTCCTGGTGGTGCTGGTGACGGTTTCGGTGATAACTGTGGTACTGGTGGTGGTATTGGCATTGGCAATGGAGGTGGCTGTGCTAGGGTTGGTGGTGATGATGGTTTGTTACTGGCAGTGGTGAACGAACTGACTTCGTGAGGCTCGGTCAGGTGCCTCCTTCTTCAAACCTACTGGATTCCTCTCGGTGCTGTAATTTAGGCCCCTGAAGCCAGTGCCCGGGCACATACTTACTACAAAAGGATTCTGTCGGAAGGATCTCGGAGGACATCCTAAGAAGGTGTAAAGACTGCCACAGGCGCCAGGCCCTACCTCGCTCGGACTCGCTGCTGCCCGCTCGGGTCTTCATCCTGTAGTATGGCTCCTGGCAGCGGTACTGGATGCGGGACTCGTAGATGTTCACTCCCTCGGTGGTGAGGTACCGGAAGTCCCCACTGGGCAGGCTTCGGGGCTGCCCACAGTCCCTGACTTGGGAGAATACCAGTGGGATAAGAACTGAGACTGACTGTGTGTGTGTGTGTGTGTGTGTGTGCATGCGTGTGTTGCCTGCCTGCAGAATGGGGTGCAGACCCTAGAGGAATAGGTCTGTGCGGATGGCACTTGTGATCAAGGGAGTTGCACGGGGTGAAGTTCAGTTCTGGGGGAGCCCGGCAGTGCCTGAGAAGGGACAAGCCCGGGAGGGTCTTGGAGAGAGGCTGTTGGGTCCCCTCTTTTCTTCTCAGTTCGGGCCCTGGAGGAGAGGGGTCGGAGGCTGGGGCAGACATCCCGGAACTGTGACTTACTCTTGCACCTGGGCATGGGGCGATGCCACGTGCCGTCATCCTGGCAGACAGCCGTGAAGGACAGCAGCGCCTGGTCCCCCTGTGTGAGCGGAGGGAGGGTGGAGGAGCCATGAGCCTCTGAGGCGAACAGCTTGCTCCCCTGCCTGGACCATGCAGCGGACATGAAGACCCTGTGAGCCCCCAGACCCTCCTTCCCCTCGATAGCCAGTAGCTTGGCCCAGAGCTGTGGGGGACGCTGAGTTACACAGCGGAGAGTCAGAGCGCCCTCGGGTAGACACGAGAATCTCCCCTCTAGACTCTTGCCTGTTCCCATTAAACTCTATGATTTGTAATTTTAAAACAACAGCCAGAATGAGTGTTTTGTAAGGAGACAAGAGACTCAGGCTGCTCCCTCTCTGAGGCAGCCAGCTGAGGCCTGGAGCGTGTCCTCTCCCCCAGATCACAATTTCCTTAAGGGCACGGCCCGTGCTGAAACACCACCGCCACCCAGCCCCTTTCAGAGAAATTGGGTGCGTTCAGGTGGTGTGGTCATAGGCTCACCTAGGCTACTGCGGGGTAAGATTCGGATGTTACCTAAGTGCTGCAGCGACAAGACTGCAAAACGGGCAACTCTAATTGTGTGGGATTTCTTTTGGTACCAGGGGTGGAACTCAGGACCTTGCGCTTTTGAGGCAGACGCGGTGCCACTGAGCTAAATCTCCGGCCCACTAATTGTATGTTTTTAAGAAATACTGTTTCAGTTTAGGACCTTTTGTGACCTTGGCCCATAGATAAAACCATATTCTGTCCCGAGTCTGCAAAGCCGAGAAGACAGTGGGTCCAGTGTGAGAGCCCCCGTGAGCATAAAGAGCCCTGGAGAAGAAGCAGGAGGTTGGGCCCAGCCCTGCTGCACAAAACCACGGCGTAACGTGGCGAAAGTCACCGCATATTGCTGAGCCCTTCCTGTCCCAGCTCCACACTTATGGACCAGGTCAGAGCCTCAAACATGGCTGCGTATCAGAATCACCTGAGTAAGTTTACATAATCCTCACGCCAAGGCCCAGCACAGCCGGAGGAGAGTCATCCAGTGGGGGACCTGGCCAGACATGAGTATTTTTTAAAATACTGTTTGCACTGTGCCCTCCAGTTGGAGAGCTGGTCGACTGCCTCAGCCCTCCGTGACTCTGATGGGTGTGTGAACCTGGAGCCGCTGTGATTGGGCCCCTGGGCTCCTCCGGGGAGGCTTGGCTGGCCCCGGCTCCCCCAAGCCCTGGGCTCTCACCTCCACCAGCTGGTAGCCTTGTTTGCAGGTGACAATGAAATAGTCCCGGAACTGGTACTGTGGCTGCAGGTTCTGGATGATGGTGAACTCGTCCAGGGGCTTGGGCTGCGGGCACTTGATGACTGTCGGGGAGGAACATGCTCATTTCAGAGCCACGGTCGTCCTTCTCCCAACCAGGGAGGCCTGCCTGGGAGCCTTACCTTCATGTTTTATTTGTATTTATTGATCTTGGTGCTAGGGACGGAACCCAGGCCCACATGCAGGCTCACAAGCTTGTCATGGAGCCACCCTGCAGCCCCCAGCCTTACTCTCCGTGGTGTAGTGCAGCTTCCAGCCCCGGCTGTCCCCAGACTCATCAGTGAAGAACAGCAGGTCGACGGCATTGCTGCTGGTGTCCAGGTCGGGAGGCCTGTGTGTACCGCAGAACTCGCCCACGTTCTTCCCGTTGGCGTAGATCTGACGGGAGACAGGAAGGGTTACTCCTCCATGGGGCATTTTCACACAGGGGTGGCACCTGCCTGTGTGTGTTTTCAGCTGAAGGTGGACAGGACCCCCAGGACTCCTGGTATCACAGAAATTTGCCCAGCCTCAAGCCCCAGAGTGAAGCTGGTCACCCCTGTCTGAGTGGGCCTCGTGGGTATGGGAAGGAGAGGGAGGTGCCCTCAGGTATGTGGCTGTACCTGGAGCTGGTCATAGGGGCAGTGCACTTGCTGGTGGTCGTCAATTTCAAAAGGCTCCAGGAACTTGAGGTGCAGGGTGAGGCCTCGCTCTACCCGGATGCTGTAGTTGCAGCGCAGATCCGGGGGGTATGGCCGGGGGTACTCCAGGCTGGTGACATAGCCTGATGGCTCTGTGTACAGCTCGCTGCTGCACTCAGCTGTGACAGATGAGTCTCAGGGTTGCCAGGGGCCCAGCAATCCCAGCTCAGTGCCTGTGGCCCCCACCATGCCCCACTGGACCCACCCTGGCAGGAATGCCCGTCCTGACGAAGTTCGTAGCCTGCACGGCAGGAGCAGAGGTAGCCGCCGAGGTAGTTGTGACAGAGGTGCTGGCAGTGGGGCTGGGAGTCGTCCTCCACAGAGCTGCTCTGGGAGGTGCATTCGTCGAGGTCTGGAGGGGATTCAGAAGGAAGGGCTGGGTCCCGGCCAGGAAATTCCTGCAGGGGCTCTGGTCTTGGAGAGGTCTAGCAGGACATCCGGGGCTCTCTAACGCTTCCTGGGACCGAGCCCAGTGGACAGGCCCCTTCTCCTGAGGGGAGGAACAAGGAAAGCCAGCTCTGGGCTCCTTTTGATCCAGGTTCCCCTTTCCAGATGAGCCTCAGGGAACACTCACCCTCGGCGTGGTAGTAGGCCTGGAAGCCCCTGTAGAACATGGCGGTCCCATTCTCCTCATTGGAGAAGTCTGTGTGGAAGGTCAGCAGCATCTTGTTCCCTTTGGACACGAACTCCTTCTCCCCTGGGTGGTTTCCCAGGGGGGACCCCAGCTGCCCACAGAATCTCCCAAGGTTTTTCTTGTCGGCGGAGATCTGGTGGGAGACATGGGGAGGAAGCAGTCCTGCTGAGGAGTCCACCCCCCTGCACCCCAGAGTGACCCGGGCCCCACAGTGGCACCAGCTGCTCACGGCCTGCTGGCCCTGGCTTCCACTGCGGCTCCCACTGACTGCCTGAGGCCGTCTGTGGCCAGCGGATCTCCCCCCTACTTTAGGCCCGACCTCCCCACAGGCCTCTGAGCTTGCTCAAGGCCCCCCCCCCGCCCCCCGGCTCCTTCTTCCCTGGCATCCTGGTGGTCTCTGCCCAGCCTTTATTGTCCCTTCATCCCCAGAGCCTGGACTGGTCCTCATTTTCTGTCTTCTTATTCCACCCCACATGCCTTATTCGACCTCTCAACCCCGCTGCGCCTCTGCATGGATGAGGCTGAGTACAAGGCCTTGCTGCCCTGTCTCCCCTCACAGAGTCCTCCGTTCCTCACCATCCAGGCCCTCAAGTGTCCTTCCTCCATGCGTGTCGCACCCTCTGGAGAGGCTGTGAGTGCTCCGCACTATCCCCTCACCCTCCAGGCTGTTGCCTGGGATGGATGCGCACAGGCTCCGCCTGGTCCTTAATCTCAACTTTCCTGACAGGAAGGATGGGGTGGGGGGATTCTCCTTGGTGTGTGGAGGTGGAGGCCTGGCTCCCTGTCCTTGCTGAAGGCTGTGGTTGAGCTGCCACACACGTTTCTCTTTCTCATGCTCCTGTTGAGGTGGCAGCCATGACCATATTCTCCACGGAAATAGGGAAACTGAGGCACTGATGTTTCTCAGAGACCCAGTGAGGCAGCAGTGTGACTCCTGGGCCTCCCTTCCTCTGGGTTTCTCCCCATGGTGCCCGCCAGGTGCCCTGAAACTCATGGGTACCCCATCTGTGGCATCGCGTGGCTCTCAGAACTCCACTCGACCATCAGCTCTGACATGGCTGGGTGGTGTTGGGGGACCTGCTGTCCAGGGCTCTGACCCCCACCTGCCCCTACCTTGACGTAGTCATAGAAGCAGCCTTTGGAAGGCTCCAGATCAAACTGCCGGAAGATGAGCTTCACTCTGTGTCCAGGGGGCACCATGATGATCGTGGTTGTCTCATAGTTGTTGGGGTAAGGTTTGGGGTACAGAGGGGAAGTCACCTCCCCAAAGAGCTTCTGAGGGACGGGGATGGAGCCTCCCACCCCGCAGAGCAGGGCTGACACGAGGAGGGGGAAGGGCCACCTGCCGAAGAGAAAGAGGTGTCTGCAGGGGTGAGGCACCCTGACCTTCCCCCTGCCCCGCAGAGACCCAGGGAGGTGCCCAGGGGGTGGGGGCGGCTCTGCAGTGGCTGCCTCGAGTTCCCTCTGGGGCAGGGTCCAGTCCAGAGATCGGGAGCTCCCATCCCGCCCCTCCCTAGCCCCTCCGCCTCCTCCTCTTCCCGGAATGGGACTGGCACGGGACCAGGGCATGGGTCCAGGGCACCAGACCAGGCCATTCGGGGTGAGGGCTCCCAGGCTAGGCTCTGGGAAAGGGGTCCCAGAGGTGCAGCAGAGCCCTCTGGGAGAAGCCCCCCACAGGGTCTGGGAAACCGGGTTCCTCCTGCTGAGCAGGGTGGGGTCCCCGCCCCTCGCGTCTCCCTGTTGTGAGTCCAGAGGAAGGAAGGGCAGGCAGCGTCAGCTGTGTGTGCCGTGGGCTCCCGGTTCTCAGGGAGCTGTGCGTGCTGTGAGCCTGGTGTGTGCTGGCACAGACAGGGTACGCGGGCGGGGAGGCTCCCCGGCCTCTGGCCTCTTGTGCCCAGCCCCTGCTCCTGCCTGGGACCCCAGCCTTACTCACATTTCCCTGCTGGTCTTTGGGCCTGGGCTCTGGCGTCTTCATACACAGAGCGTTGAGGGAGAGAGCAGCCCTGCAGAGCAGGGCAGGGGAGGGATGACTGGAGGTGGAGGGGGACCATTCCCGGAGGAACGCTGCAGGGAATGAACTATTTGCATAAACAAAACAAAACGAAAAAGAAATCTGAGTTTCTGTAGTTTTGGTTCTGATAGCCCTGTCGGTGCTGCCGCCTGCTGGTCCGTTTGGGGGAGTGCAGAGGAGCCTGGGTCTGGCTTTAGTCCTGGGGACCTTTGGGTGGAGGTGCGCTCCGGTCGGTCGGTTGGTGCATCTGTCAGCGTTTCTGCAGAGACTCCCTAGCCGCCACCGCTGTGTTCAAGGTTCCTGCCCAAAGGGCAGCGGGGGCCCCAGCTCTGCCTTGGGTGTTCGTGCCAGGGCAGTGTCCAGCCCAGGAGTCTGGGCCGCAGAGGCACCCCGGAAGTCTGACCCCATTCTTCCCATCCTTGGTCACCCGCAGCCCCAGTCCAGGAAAGGCCTGTGATGGGGTGACCGGAGGACAGGGACACCTAGACCTAGAGCGAGGGTGGCCATGTCAGGTGACTCCACAGCGGGGGCCCGGGCCTGCGGGGACCTGGGTCTCAGAGATACCGGGGCAGCACCCTGTTTTCTCAGCCCCAAGGGTTACATTCCTCAGTGCTTAGGCACAGGGCTTGGCTGCAGAGCAAGTGTGAGTTGGTCTTTTTTGAGAGGAATTCAGGCCCAGACAGCTCTCCTGTCCACCAGGAGGTGGGGTCTTGATTAAAAATTTTGCTTTTTAAAATATTTTGGTACCAGGGATCGAACTCGGGACCTTGCGCTTGTGAGGCATGTGGTGGAACCACTGAGCTAAATCCCAGACCCTAAAACTTTGCTCTTTTTGGGAGCCTTTCTTCAGTTCTCTACCCGCTTGTAGGCTGATCCCCTTCTTGGATGACCCCCTTTACTGTCTCCCTACTGCTTGCCCTTGTTCATGAGCCAGGCACTTTCCAGACACAAGAGATGGACGCGTCCCCATTTGGCCCTGGCTGCGTCCTTGCGGAATGTGGTCAGCCTGCAGGCCGCAGGCACACGGAGGGGCACCAGTGACCGAGGTCTGGAGGGGTCTCCAGCAGCCTGTGCTGGAGCCGAGGGATGAATCCAGGGCAGGGCTGATCTGACCACAGATCAGGACATGAGCCACTGCACTGTTGGGTCAGGAAAGACAAGACAGGGGAGAAGGAGACGCACCAGATAGGAGACAAGAAGGGAATCTTGTCTGGCTAATGGGACGTTAATATCCTGACAGCAGAGTGTGTGTGTGTGTGTGTGTGTGTGTGTGTGTGTGTGTGTGTGTGTGTGTGATGTACATAACAGGCAAAGACACAGCAGGCAGGGAGGAGGTGGTCAAAGAGGCTAAGTCTCAGCTGAGTTCTCTCAGGAATCCTGGGGGCTCTGGGATGTGCTCTGCTGTGATGTCACATAACTTAAAAGTGACAAACTGGAAGCCGGGTGTGGTGGTGCATGCTGGTAATTCCAGCACTTGGGAGGCTGACGCAGGAGGATCAGTTTGAGTTCAAGTCCAGCCTGAACTACATAGTGAGACCCTGTCTCAAAAAACAGAACAAAACAAAACAAAGGGTGACAAACTGGGACCTCACTACCTCAGGCCCAGCCCCACCACTCTGCCCAGCCACTCAAACTCACCTCCACTCACGCACGTTTGTTACACCCTGCACTTACACCGAGAATAAAAAGGAGAGACAGCCACAGGAAGGTGCTCCTGTGTTTGTTTTAAGCTGGAATTACATGGCTCATTCCCTCTAGGGTTTGATTCTGGGGGAAAGTCTCTCTTTTAAAGCAATGGTAGGTTTTCTGTGGATGTATCTCTGTATCTCTCTTCCATATCCACATTCTAGATTTGGATCAGCTGTACATTTGTATCTCTAAATATAAATTTAGTTCTCCAAATTTAGAGTTAGATTTGGGTCTACAGCTACACTTAAAGATATAAATATATAGATCTAGACACATATACAAAGGTATAGGCATATATTTTTTGTCTTGGGAGGGAGAAACATAATTGTTAATAAAAATACTTTTTTCAATTATAAAAATAAGTAAAATAAATAAAAAGAATATATGCTCATTAAATAAAATCTAAGCTAAATAGAGAAATAGGGGAAAACCAAATGGCTCATTTCATACTGCATTAAAACAACCTCTGCTTACTATTTTAAGAATATTTTTAATAGTCCTTTGAACTGTGCATAAATTTTAAAAACAGCAGTAACCACAGGTATGCTCAGCATTTTTTTTTTTTTGGTACCAGAAATTGAACTCTGGACCTTGTGCTACTGAGCTACATCCCTAGCACTAATCCTGCTATTTAGATAAATTTAACCTTTGACTATACAGCAACTTGGCTCTCAATGATTTATGCATGACAGTGGCGCCAACTGGTGAGTCTGTGGGGAGTCCCGGCCCAGTACTGGGGCCGAGGTGTCTGCAGGGCAAGGAGAGAGGACACTGTCACAAGTCCCTGTGTCTCCCCGAGCTGCAGCGTCCTCGTCTGTGAGACGTGGATAAAATGCATCCTCTGCAAACACGCGCAGGAGGAAGTGGAACAACACGAGAAGAACCTGCATGTGAAGGCATAAAACAAAGCAGCAGCTGTGACTACCATTGCATGAAGGGCTTGAGGTAGGTGAAGAGCCAGCAGCCCGAATATCTGAAGGTCAATTAAAGGCCCTTTGGACACTTCAGACACAAAATACCACAGACTTCCTCCACGCGCCACCGGAACGGGGTGAGAAGGCGTCTGTTCCCCAGCTGGGTCTGGAAAAGACTGGCAGGTGACAGTTGCTCAGCTGAGCAGGGCTTCCCTGGTGCAAACAGGCTCGAAGGCAGAGGGGAGGGGACAGGGCCGTCCATGCCGCTCCCCGCTGGGAGGGTATAGGCTGAGGCAGGAGGGTCTCCCTGGCAGGTGCCTGGCTGCAGCAGTGGCTGGAGGGGCTGCTCTTCACTCCCAGCCCTCTTGACTCAGTGTCTGCCGCTCTGGCCGGTCCCCGCCCTCGTGTCCACGCTCAGCCCTTGCCACCCATCACGCCCTTGATCCAGCCCACGTAGTTGAGCACTTTGGTGTAGAAGCCGTAGCCCTTGCCGCACCCGACGCCCCAGGACACGATGCCCGTGGCCACCCAGCGGCGGGCACGACCGTCCCACACCACGTAGACACTGCCACTGTCGCCCTGGCAGACCCCGCTGGCCTGCAGCTCCTCCCCCACGCAGAACATGTTGTGGGAAAACAGCTCTGCGCGCTGCCTGTCCCGGAGCCAGGCCTCGCAGGCCTCCCTGGGGGCCACCGGCAGCCTGGACCATTTCAGCTCTGAGCTCATCCAGCCCAGGTCCACGCCGAAGCCGCTGACGTGGCCCCAGCGGCCACTGCGGTACAGGGTCTCGGTGTCGGGCAGGCAGACGGGGAGGAGCTGCGGGCCCAGGGCCACGCGGTGCTCCAGCTCCAGCAGGGCGATGTCGCCGTCGAAGTTGTGGGGCTCATGCTGGCGGTAGTCGGGGTGCACGGCCACCCGGCGCACGGGGTAGCTCCCCTGCCGCAGCAGCTCATCTACATGTGTGTGGCCCAGGAACACGTCCACTTGCGGGTTCTTCCTGAGAGAGGCGCTATCCTTGGGGTAGAGGGTGTGGGCCGCCGTGAGGACCCACCTGTCACCCAGGAGCGCCCCTCCGCCGCGGCCACGGCCCACTGTGAGGGCCTGCCAGGGGAAGCTGCCCGGTGGAGCTCTGGAGGAGCCCAGGGTCTCTGGCTGCTGGGCCATGGGAGTGACCGGCCGTCCACACACTGGGAGAGGGGGCGGAGAGACAGCTGCAGAGATTGCAGGTTGTGGGAAGAGGTCCCGAGTGGCTCCCACAGACCCAGGCCCGCGAGTGAGGACACAGGGCGACATGGGCAGTGTCAACTTGGACGTGACTGGGCACAACCTGCCTGAGGTTCAGGCTGCGGGGTGGGGCCCAAATGACTGCAGAGTGGGGGCTGGCTCTGCGGGTCCCTCCTCCTAGCTCTTGGGTCGCCCCTCAGTGGGACTGATCGGGCTACATCCCTGGCAGGGGGTTTGTCATCAGTGCCCCTGTGTTCGGGACCTCACCCTCATTTATAGCATCTCCCACCCCAGCCTCCCTCCAAGCTGCTTCCTGAGCCTGAGGCTTCAGGCTGCCCTTGGAGCTCTGCACACCTGAGTGGGGTAGGAAGGTGGAGCTCACTGTAATCCCAGTACCTGAGAGGCTGAGGCAGAAGGACTGCAAGTTCAAGTCCAGCCTGAGCAACTTAGTGAGAGAGTGAGATGCTTTCTCAAAATCAAAAATACATAAAAAGAGCTGGGATGTAGCTCAGTGGAAAGGCCCATGGGTTCAATCCCCGGTAGTGCAACATCAAAAACAAAACAAAAAGAGTTTTCACAAAAGATGGACTTGCACCCGCATATCGCTGGTGAAATGTAAGATGGTGCTACTGCTATGGAAATATAGTTTGCGGATTCTGCAAAACATTTTACAGAATTACCATGTGATTGAGCCATTCCACTCCTAGTTATCTACCCAAGAGATTCCAAGATTTGGAAATGTATGTTTACATAAAAACTTATGTACAAATACTCATATCAGTATTATTCATAATATGTAGGCAAAAGAGCGAAAACAACCAAAATGTCCATCAACTGATGAATGGTGTGGTGTACGAACAAACAAAGGGGTGTGACTGAGCCTGGTGTGACGTGGTGAACCTCGAAGACACTGTGCTGTGTGAAAGGCCGCACACTGCGACTCCCTGGTGTGAAAGGTGAGATCAGGCAAGTCCAGAGACAGGAAGTAGATGGGCCGGAGCCAAGGGACAGAGAGAGAGGTGGAGACCTGGGAATTTTGGGGGCAGGAAGATGCATGTGTTCTGGAATCAGTGGAAATGTTTCTACAACATTGGTAATACCCTAAAATTCTCTAAATTGTGCACTTCAAAATGGTTAAAACGGTGAATTTTATCTGAATAAAATTTTTTTTTTCCTTTTACTGGGGATTGAACTCGGGACCTTGCGCTTGTGAGGCAGGTGGTGGAACCACCAAGCTAAATCCCTGGCCCTAATTTTTTTTTTTTTTTAAATAAAATTTTTAAGACAGAGGCTAGGGGGTGGCTCAGGGGTAGGGAGCCGGCCTTGCACGCAGGAGCCCGGGTCCAGTTCTCAGGCCACACCTCCACGCCCCAGAAAAGCAGAATCTCCACCACTATGGCAACCAGGTGGGGAGGCTTCAGGCTGTCTGAGAGCCTTCTTAGAATACATCATACGAAACGCTTCTCATTATTTTAACTCTTCTCTCCTTCCTGCTTCACTGGACACCTGATTAACTCCCTCAGGCTTCACTTCTCTCAGACGCCCCCCACCCCACCAAGGGACAAGCTCCACCCCTCTGCTCCCTCCCCTGTCTACCCCGCTCTCCTTGGTCCTGAGTCCCTGATCCCAGTTCCAGGTGAGGCTCAGGGGGCCCAGGCAGGGAAGTACTCACCAGGCACGCAGTGCGGACCCTCCTGCCTGTCCTGTCTGTCCTTCCAGATCCCCTGGACTGGGCAGCAGAGCGCCCCTAGGACCACGGAGGGGAGGCAGAGAAGCGGCTCAGAATCCAGGCACTGGGCTAACACAGAAAGGGCGAAGAGGGCCCAGGCCTTCGGATGGGAGCGGAGCAGCCGGAAATGCCGTCCTGCAGGGCACTCACCAGCTGACACCTCCTGGTAGTAGGGCTCCCGGCAGCTGCTCTGGATCTCAGAAGGGGTGGCTCCGGGTGTGGAGGTGGCCGCAGAGCCCCCACCGGCCTCGCTGAGGGGCTCGCAGCTCGGAGCTGCGGGGAACACAGTCGTTAGAGCTTCTGGCAGACTCGCAAAGTGGCAGGTTCTATTTAGTTTGACCTGAGCAGTGATTTAAAACAAAACAAAACAACACAACACAACAACAAGTTTTCACCATTCCGACTGTCAACACTCAGAGTCTGAAAATAACTGTGATTAGCAGAGTACGGAGAAACAGGTGCACGTGGTTTGTGGGAGTGTAAATCAGTGAAAACGTTTTGGAGAGAATTTCAGCAATAATCACAGCGAAAGAGGCAAAGATTTTTAAACCTAGAATTTCAGTTTCTCAGAATATTCTCACACGTATGTGCAAAGACATGCACAGCGGCCTGTCGGTGGGAGATCAGCTAAATACCAGGGGTGATCAACATATACAGTGAGTATTTAAAACATAAAATTTTATTATGGTTAAAGACACATTGCCTCAAAACAGCCCCCCAACACACAGCATCTCTCCCTCCTCTCTTCCCGCTTTGCTCCCTGCCAGTATTATTATGGTTCCCCCCACCCTCCCCCTGGGCCTGGCTCCAGGGCTTCGCACAAGCTAGGCAGGGGCTGTACCACTGAGCTACCTCCCAGCCCTTTTTTGACCTCTCTAGAGCTGCAAACCCTGGGCCTGTAAATCATCCTGGAGCGAATAAGCATCGAGGAGCAACGGCTGCCCCTGAATTGGGCCGTTTGTCGGCAGAGCCAGGGCTGGGGTCAGCGCAGGGGTTCCTGTGGCCCCAGCCCAAGCTCGAGGTTCGTTTGGTGGCTTCAAGATGGCAGGCGTCCTGGCTGGGGACAGACGCACCTTCCCCGCAGCCCAGGAGGGACACTCACCCACAGCTTGGTAGACAGCCAGGAAGCCCCTGTGGAGGTGGGTGGGCTGGTCCTGGGAGGAAGCACGTGCCCGGAAGGTCAGCTGCAGACTCCTCCCGGAGGACGTGAACTCTCTCTGACCAGGAGGGCTGTTCAGAGGGGAGCCCTGCTGCCCACAGAGCTGGCTCAGCACCCCACTGCCTGCGACCTGAAAGGGGAGGAGGGCAGGGCACAGGTAGCTGTGAGATGAGCCTTCAGGGTTGTGCGACGCTGCCTGTGTAGAAGCTCTGCACCCCAGGGCCTCAGGAGCCAACTCTGCTGGGTCTTCCTCGAGTAGCTTTCTGCCTTCACACTGACTCCCAGGTTTCTTCCAGAATGACCACACGCTCGAGTATCTCCAGCCTACCAGAATTACTGTGTGAAGGGGATTATATTTCCCTTCTGTCAAGAGGCGCCTTGGGAGCCCCAGGGGTCCAGCAGTAGTCTGGGGTTGTAAGGCCTAAGAAGGCAGAGCCTGCACCCGCTCTGCGTATCTCCCAGTCCCTGACATGCAGCACCGAGCCTCCAGCACCACAGCTTCCAATCAAAGAAGGTGCAGGCTCAGTCCCTCTCAGCCTCTCGGCTTCCCTGCCGCCTCCTCCTGACACCTTCCATTTGGCTGGGAAATTTGTGTGTCCAACATCTGTGAAGCAGTAAGACCCTCTGCAAGGACTGAGACCCTGCAATAGCTGAATTATAGGTCCAGAAAGAGAAAATACAGAAAGCAGACATTGGGAAATTGTTAAAGAAATACTGCAAGCTATCTCCAGAATCGAAGGACAGAATGAATTACTAAATTACCCAGGGGTGGCTTCAATTTGTGATCCTCTTGCCTCCACCTCCCAGAGTTCTGGGATTACCGGTGTGTACCACCGTGCGCATCCTGTGCGAAGTTTCATAGTAGCCCCTTCAAGGTAAACTTGGTCTTAATTTGGTACATAATCTGCTGCCCAGCTTCTTAACTGGACAAAGCAGGGCCTCCACAGAACCTGCCGTGTGTGTCCCGACCTTACTCTACAGATCGACAGCGCTTGTGTGTCCTGTTGCAGGCCTGGCCTGAGCCCTCTGCCTCGCTCTGTGGGTCGGGATGGCGCAGGGTGGGCAGAGGGACTGGCGGGAGGCCACGGACTGGGCCCCGGGGCCCTGACTGGGCTCTTCATCCCTCCTCTAGGGGGCGACTCAGGACCCCCAGGGCTCCGCAGACCCTGCTCACTGTGACCGAGTCCCCTCCGCAGTCCGGGGACGGCTCCAGGTCGAAGTCCTGGAAGACCAGCCTCACAGCGAAGCCCCTCGGAGCCGCGATGTGGGTGCTGCTCTCCTGGCCTCTGGGATAGGGCTCGGGGTACCCGGGAGACGTCAGCGGCTGGGGTAGCCGCCGGGCCAGCAGCACAGAGCCCCGCGTGGGCCACGCCTGGAGGAGTCCCCAGAGCAGCAGCCAGCACCTGCGAGCAGGGGACAAGGTGGTGCACACAGCTGTGGGCCGAGGCCTGCGGATGGACGAGGCGGAGGCGTGGGAAGGGGTTGAGAGGCCCGGCAGGGCAGGGGTCTGGGGGCTTCCTGTCCACGCCCTCATTTCCTGTTCCCCTCAGTCCCTCGGGCCCCTGCCCAGCTTGGGCCCCAGGAACGCGAGTGTCCCACCTTCTGAGGACACCCACTGCGCCTCTCCCCAGAGGGCATCGTCCAGACCAGGGCCGCTTCCTGCCTCAGCCAGCCAGACACCACCCTGGCATCCCGGGCAGCAGGGAGGCGGGAAGGGAGGGGCGTTGGAATGTTTCCCCCAGACCAGGAAGAAGGCGAATTTCAGAACTTCAGAACCCGCTGCGTGCGTGTCACCGACCCGCACCGAACCCTGCCTCTCCTGACCCCACCCTCGGGTCTGGGTCTCCAGGCTCCTCCTGGGCACTCACATCCTGCCTGTGGAGGAAGGCTTTCTCCAGGCATAGTTCCCCGCTCTGGGACCAGCCATCTGGAGCGCGACATCTGGAACCCGGAGAGGACTTGGCTCGGGCGGGGAACAGGAGGTGGGGCCGGGGAAGGGCCTGCGGGGCGCGGGGGAAGTTACTGGAAGTGAGTTGAGTAACTCCGGAGCTCCCCTCTCCGGACTCGTTGGGTTGAGCGCCACCTGCTGCCCAACACAGGAATAACTCACAGGCCACAGTTTGGAGGAAGCGCATGTATCTCCCAAGCCTTGAAGGCCCTTCGTACTTGACTCTTTTGTAGTGTTTAAAACTGATTAAAAAACAAACCAACCAGTCTGATTTTTACTTTGTGCCTGTGTCATAGGTGGTATGGTGCTTCCTTGTGAGTGGGTGGCTCCTCTGTCCTTGCCATTCATTTACATACCCAGCTAGTCTCCTAGAATCTGAAGTGTGACCTATGAACTTGAGCCTTCCTTTCCGCTCTGGCCTCACCAAGGGTAGCGGGGAGTCTTGCGAACCCCCTACAACCTCTGGAGGCTCCTTGTGCTGCAGGCTCAAGCTCATGGTCCAGCCCAGGGCCTGGAAGTGGTGGCCTCTGTTATGGGGAATCTGACACTTAGAACACGAGGGTCCACCAGGTGAGACAGCAGTGTGTGAGGGGGACATGGGGAGGGGGCCGCCAGGAATGCGGGACTGGAGTAGGAGCCCAGGGTGTGTGTGCAGCTGGCGGAGCCGGCAGCTGGGCTCCTGCCCGGTTTGCAGACTGGCTCCCCTGGCCCTGTCTCCAGCTAGATGCAACACAGGAAGTGGCCGTTGCTCTGTGGTTTGTAGCCTGGGCAGGAGAAGCTGTGGGCACAGATGCAGGTCTGGGCCATCCAGGGCCGGCGCTGTGAGGGCCAGAACACTTGCTCACATCTGGGAGTGGGAAGAAGGGAGATGAGAAGCTACCAAGGAGGGCGCTGGAGCTGTGGGCAGGCCCAAGCCAGCTCTGCTTCCTGGATTTGTCGTTTAGGGAGGCTGTTGCTCACCTCCATCCATCTGGGGCCACAAGTAGGTCCCAGGAGAGGCTGTGAGGCTGCGGCTCTGGGCCTCCGAGCTGCTGCTGAGTGCTAAGCCCCGAAGGTTGGCTCCTCTCACCGTGCAAGGCTGGAAGAGAGGTGACAGTACCAGTGTTTCTGCGTTCATTCTCCTAAACAATGACAATGCACACGTGTGACAGACTCCAAGAAGCCTGGCTAAGACCAGAGGAATCTGAACTTCATGTTCGAGCCCTCACCTTTCTAAAAGAAGTTTGAAGTTTAAGCTAAGCCAAGTTAACTGCTTACTTGAAAAGAAATCATTCTTTGGAAGAACACCATAGAATCTGTGGTTTCTGTAGAGTATCAGTCACTGTGTTCTGGTTTGAATGTGGTCCCCAAGAGTTCCTGCTTTGGGTGCTTAGTTCCCAAATTCACGTGTGGGTGGCACTTGGAGCCTGGACCTTCGGGAGCTGATGAGGTGATGAGGGGTGAAGGTGGCCCCAGGGTGGGGCTGTGGCTTCACAGGAGGAAATGACCTGAGACCCCTCTCTTGCTTGGTTTCATGATGTGACCTCTCAGCTGTGTGTGGTGCAGTAAGAAAGCCCTCACCAGAGGCTTCCCAACCTCCAGAATGTGAGACATACAACCCTTTCTTTATAAATTATCCAGTCTTGGGTATTTTGTTATAGCAACAGAAAATGAACTAAGACATATCATGTTGAGGGTATGATCCAAAGTTACTCAAAATATGGAGGAAAGACACACCATGTTCATGAGAAAAGAGAACAGAAACGATTCTCCAAAATGACCCTGATGTTAGACAGTACAGTAGGATTTTTAACACATAAAAAAGCAAAGAAACTGGGCGTGGTCACACATACCTCTATCCCAGCACCCAGGAGGCTGAGGCAGGAGGATTGCTAGGAGTTCAAGATCCGCCTGAATTATGTATTGAGACTCTGTCTCAAACAAGAACAACAAAAAGAAAGAAAAATATGCTCATAATAAGGAAAAAATATGGGGAACATAAACAGAGAAACAAACTTTAATGATCAAATTTAAATCACAAACTAAGGAATGTAGCATATGATAAAAGAATTCACTGGTGGGGCTTAAAAGAAGAACGCAAGTGGCTGAAAAAAGAGTCAGTGAATTTGAAGATAGGTAAATAGCAATGATTCTACCTGAAGAATAGAGGAAAACATTCTTATTCTTATTTTTCAGATATTTTTGGTAGCATAGGCTGGCTTGGACTCCCAACCCTCCTGCCTCAGCCTGCTGAGTACTGGGACTACAGGCAGCACCACGCCTGGCTGAAGAAAACATTTTAAAAATGAGCAGAAATCAAGGCCCTGTGGGACAATACAAAACCGGAACATATGTGTTCTTGGCATGTCAGAAGAAGGGGCGGGCAGAGAGAGAGGATGAAGAAGTAAATACTGGATCCAAGACATGGCTAGGAGCTTCTAACTTTGATGAGACATGTAGTTTCAGATCGAAGAACCTCAGTAAACCTAAAGCAGAATTGAAGATAAAAAATAAAATGCATACATTAGCACATCATGGGCAAATCGCTAAAAACCAAAGATAAAGAGAAGATCTTGAGAACAGCTGGAGAAAAAGGAGATTGACGTCAAAAACAAGACAGCCCAGAAGACAGCGGAATGTCTTTAAAATGCAGAAAGAAATCATCGGCTCTGATTTGTTTTTCCAGTGAAAAATTCTCCCAGAAGAAGATGAAAGAAAAGAGAATACAGAAACTGTCATCAGCTCCTCGGAGATGCTCAAGAAAGTTCTTCAGGCTGAAGGACTGAGTCCAGGCAGAAGAGAGGAAGCTGGAATAAAGAGAAAAGTTACATTTAGAGATAAATGTGAAATACATTTTTCTTCCTAATGTTAACATGCATATAACCATTTAGGCCAAAAGTATAACACACGGAGGGGTTGGAGCACATGTGTGTGGACCTTACATGAGAGCTGGAGCGCAATGCTGGGGTGGAAGCCTCTGCTCCCAGAAGTGGTGGGTGTGGTCTCCAGTTGGCTTAGGTTCACTGAGACTCTTAGTGAGGGGCTCTCTGCTGAGCAGTGGCTCTGAGACATCCTGGGGGTCCTGAAGATCCTTTCGGGGGGCCTATAAGGGCAAAATGACTTTCACAAAAATGCTAAGATGTTTGCTTTTCTCTCTTTCATGAGTTTATGGTGGAGTGAAGCCGAGGCTGCGTGCTCTGTGCTGACTCATCCCCTCTAGACATTGGAATGTATGTTGTGTGTCTTTGTGTGTTACAGTGTATCTTTGTGTTATACTGTGACTATTAATAGATATAATTTACACAAGCAAAAGCTCCTTAGGATGCTCAATCACTTTTGAAGGTATAAAGTTTGAAATCTGCTGCCCTAGGCCAACCCCGGGTAAGGGAGGCAAAGGGATATAGTTACAAGGACAGCATGTAAGTTAGAGCAGACTTCTGAAGTCCGAGTGGGTTTAATTTGGGGGTACTTGTTGCTAATAGGGCGTTCTGTTAGAAATCACCTAGGTTTGTCTGGGGCTGATGGGTTTCCTGGGACGTGGACCTTTCCTTGCTAAAACTGGTTTAGTCCCAGCACACCCGGGCAGTCAGTCACCTTATTCGAATGTGTCAACCGTTGGTCCCCTTTTCCTTATTTTCCTTAAATATATGTACGAGGACTGAGATGCCTGGCATGCTAAGTAAAGAAAGCAAGCCATAAAATTATTATTTACACTGTTCATGAATATAGAAAACATCCACAAGAAAAATTTAAGACTACAGGGTCACAGATCCTTTAAAGGATGTTTATTAAAATTTCTGTAACATTATCGAGTCACTTCAGTAGTTACAAAGTGTATTTACAATTATAAGCTAGGGGTTCTTTTTTTTTTTTTTTTGGTACTGGGGATCGAACTCTGGGCCTTGTGCGTGGAAGGCAGGCGCCCAAACCACTGAGCTAAATCCCCAGCCCTGTATTTACAATTATAATTGTGACTGATGGTTATTTCTAAGTCCGACAGGATTGGAAGATCTTAAAAATGATGTGAGACTCTGGCTCTGGGGGCATCTGTAGTGCGTGTGGTTAATGAAGAACCTGTCCTGGGATGAGAGCTGAAGGTGGGCATGGATCCCCTCAGGCTGGGCGAGCCAGGACAGGGTGTTCCAGGGACCAGGAATAAAAACAGTTTCCAACCCTTGGTCTCTGTCTCCTCCTCCAGTCTCACCTCTTCCAAGTTTACATCTGGGCCCACCAAATTTGGTTTCTCATTAACCACAGAGAGGCAAAGGGCAGAGGCGGGAGGCAGAGGGCAAATGCAGAGTACGTGGTGGAAGCACAGAAGTGCACAAACATATTTTGGTTTTGGGCTTTTACTTTTGGTTTTTCTTTTCAAAATCCTGTTGATGCTGCTACCTGCTGTCCTGTGAGGGGACAGCCCAACAGAGGGGCCCGGTGTTCCTGGCTAGGAGGCTTCTCTGCAGCCCTCATTTAGAGATCTGCTCTCTTGGGCTCTTAGCAGCTGCAGGAGGCCCTGGGCTGAGCGGCTGGGACGGCATGGCCATTCCTCTCTCTGGCGTCCCTGCCTGTGGCCGTCCTGCCCTGGCCTGGCCTCCTTGGGCTCCTGTGCCCAGGGCCACGTGGGGAAGGAGACAGAGGACGGCATCAGGGGCTGAGGGGCCTGAGTCAGGCCCCCGGAAGCCGGGGCTTCTGTCCAGAATACAGATGTTGGTCAGGGATGTAGGGGACACGGGTGACCTCGATGACATTTGGGCTTGCTCTGGATGCTTTTTTACCTGACGTCATCTCAGGCTTGCAAATTAAGGCCTGGACTTTCGTGGGTTCTGGACCGTCAGGCAGGGGATAAATCAGCCCAAATGGGCGCAGCCGCAGGTCTCAGCTCTCAGGCCCACCCTTCCTACCCTGACAGGGTCTGTCCCATTACCGATTGATCGATCTTGCCCCTCTCCCACTGAACACTTTTCAAGGACTACACCCTCTGAATCACAAGAGAGCCATCGGTGGGCCGTGGCAGGGTCTCCCTTCATGATAGAGTCTGCTCTCCTTTCTACCTCTGTCCTGTCCCGCCATGCGCCTGGGTTCCTGCCATGCCGGTGATCTTGTAGTGTCCAAAACAGATCTTGTATTTGCACTTGTGGCTCCCTGGGTTCTTCTGGCACTGGAGACCAAAGA